TAAAGAGAATGAAAATTTCTATTAATAATATTTTTATTTCTATATTCTTCTTAAATAGTACTATTTTAAAGTATTTTACTAAATTAATATCTGTTATTAATATTTATTAATTAATTAATTTAAAAAACAATAATAATATCTTTTCTGAATTAAAGAATCTAATAATCAAAACAAAATAATAATACTCTTTTATAATAGGATTTTTGATAAGTAAAATTAATTAGTTTATTTATTTTTACAAGCAAAATTACTTGAATTTATTATATTATCAATAATATATATATATTCATAAATAAAAACTTTATATATAAAATAAAAAAAAATCAAATAATTGTATTTAAAGAAAAATTGTGAATAAATATAAGTAAAAATTAAAATAAATTATAAATAATAATTATATAAATAATAATAGTGAATTACAAAGAATTACAAAATATAATCATATAATATAAATAATAGTGAAATAAAAAGTGAAAGTAGAGGAAAGAAAAAAATTAAAAATGTAAATAAATTTCTATTTAAGAGAAAAAAACAAAAAGTTATTCAAATTAAAATAATATATTAGATAGTTAAAACAAATAAACTAAATTAAACAAATAAACTTTGTTACAAATTATGAAATTAAAAATTTTAATATTATTTTAGTAATAATATTAAATATAAAATATTATACAAAAATTAATTAATTAATTTTTGTTGATAATTTTTATTATAATTGATCAGTTAATTTTTTGTTATCAATCAAAAATACTAGTTATTCATTTTGTTATTATTTCTATTCCAAAAAAAAATTAATTACTTGTTTTATATTTATACTCAATTTTGAATGTTTTAATATTTAGTTACTAATTAATTAATAAAATTATATAATATTTATTTTTATATAAAGATAATTATAATATAAATATTTTACAAAATTATATTCTTGTTTTTTATAAATTGTTCTTATATAGAAAGAAAATTATTAATAAATTAATTAGTTTTATAAAAAATATTCTTTATAGAAGTTTGTTGCTTTATAAAGAGTTCTTTTATAAAGATCTAACTGTAATAAATTAGAGAAAATTCTTTATATATATATAATTATATAATCAAAGTTATATTATAATACTAATTATTCTGAAATAATTAAAAAAATGTGAATCAGTACAAAACAAATAAAATTTGAAATCAAATTTAAAGAAAAAAGCTTAAAGTGATTTAAGTTCAAAATAATTTATTATTATTATTTGATTTATTTATTTTTAGTTATTCATTTGATAAATTTATTAATCTTTTAAAAAAGATGCTTTTACATTATTAAATCTTTTAAAAAAATGCTTTTATATTATTAAATCTCTTAAAAAGATGCTTTTATATTATTAAATCTATATAATTAAAAGATATTTTATAAAATTTTCTTTAAATATTAATTTTTTTGAATAATTCAATTTTATTTAGAAAGAAATTAGAGAATTGATTATGCAATTTCTAGGACTTGTTTGAAGAATTGACTTATATTTACATTAACTAGTTCATTATGTTTAGTAAATTAATATTAATAGTTAATTACTTAATTTGGTATCACATTGTGAATAATTATTCACATTACTAAATCAAAAATCATTTTTCTCTTATTTTATCTCTTGTATATTTTTTAATTTGCCTGTTTATTGGATCAAATTCTTGTCGATTAATAAGAACTGAGCACAGATTCTTGTACACGTGATATATTATGTGCACGTGATATTATCTACTTGTTGATTGGTCTGATCTATAATGATTATTCTCTGAAAATAAAAATTCATTAATAAAAGTGATTATTTTTAAACTTTAATAACTTCATCAAAAAGCAAGTGAATCTGAAAGAATATCATTAAAATTATCATTTTCACACTTTAGTTTATTAAAATTATCAAGTTTGGAAGAATAGTTATACTAAATCTTTGATAAGTATAGATTTTATGCACCATATATTGTTTGTTGGTCATATCAATAAGTCCAATCTCTTTGTGACAGCACTATTTGAGCTTGTTATTGTCTTCCAGGCCACATCAATAAGTCCTGAAATTATTTTGAATTATTTTTAGTTTTTATGGTAGCAAGTTAATCACTGCTAAGCTAATCTCCACTATTACCTTAAATTTTGTTAATTCCTTTTAAAGTCACAAATTTATTCTTGTGAAGGCCGGTTTTCATAAAAGCTGACACAGGAGACCTTTAAAACTTATAAAGAATTCTTTAATAGTAAATCATTCAGTCTTTGCTCAAAAACTTGTGTTGTGCACTATTCTCTAATTATAATAATTAAAGAGTAACTGCAACAGTATAATACAGCGGTGTATCTCGAGTAATTTGCAGACGTAATCCATTACAAATATCAATAATGAGATACACCGTGTTCGCGATCATCAATTCCACATTAAAATTCCAAAACAGCAGCAGCTTGCGTGACGTAAAACTTCTGGTGCGGTACACCAAGTGATTATACATATTGGATGATCGTAATTTTATCCAACCAAGATAATGAACAAATTCGCTATTCAATAAACCGCCAAAAATCATCATATTTTCTTTGCAAATATCTTCCAACATTGTCAAGTTCTTCATTACCGCTTGTTCATGATAGAAGCGCACAAGATGGACAAATTTGACTGGCTATGTTCCATGGTTGATTACAGTTTGAACAGTGAGTTTGGTCCATTTCTATAGAACGAAAAAAGAAAATATTGTACTTGGAATAATTGCATCTACTTCGAAACAAAAATAATTGCAATACTATAATAAAAATGAAATACATAGTAAACCAAAGTGGTCATAAAATCAGTTTATTTAATATTTATCTGGGAAGGTTTACTATAATTGTGACTTCAATTATCGAGACGAGTTCACAATAACTTTTACTGGATCAGATTCGGTTTAACGGTGTAATTACAATACCACAAGCAATAATATTTTAACAAATTTTGCACTAACAAAGTTTTATGAATTCTAGTAATTTTGTTTCAAGACAACTGTTAATATCTTCAGATTATTCACATGGTAAATAGCTCATTATATTAATTATTAGAAAATATACTTATAACAAATAAATTATAGCATATATATTCTTTCTTTGACGACAATTAGACAAACTATATGAATAATTTATTAGTTTATAACGATGTAATAGATAATGAAACTGTACTTCAGAATATGTAATTTCAGAGTTCGATGTAGACGTTTAACGTTAATAATTTTCTAACACTTTATATGATTCAATGCACCACAAATCCATTATACGTATGCAATTTATAGTTGCTTGTCAAAAGTTTCGACCTCATCTACTATTTTGCACTGTGACATTTAATTGCTGTATTAAAAAAATGCATTGGCGAATTTTTTCATTGTACGTTAGAATGGAATTTTGATTTGAGGTTGCTTAATTCGATTATATGAATCATTTGTTTCATTTCGATGATAAAGAACGGAAGAATTTGCTAACGTTAAAGTGGTAACTCATTTGATTATTGAATAATATTTTTGATCTTTAATACAGTACATGTATATACTTTTTTGTAGTGCAGCAGACAATAATAAAACAAAAGAACAACAGGGACTTTAGAATGCGCTGTTATTTGCCGCATACCTTATATTATGGTCAACTTTTTTATCTGTTATCACAGCAGCAACAGTACATGTATATTTACCGGACCACAAAATAAATTTATCGTTACGATCTAACAATCAGAATTATAAGATACGTACATGTATCAAGTTACATATTCTTTGTTTAATTGACAAACAATCATTTTAATTAAATGTAAGCCAATTGCTTGACGCACATTTACGTATTTGTTTGCGTTGGTGTAAGAGAATCTAAATTTGCATACAAAATATTCTAATTCAATCTTGTGATGGAAAGGATCATTAATTATTAAAATGAAATATATATAGCGATAGTACGAACGTACAAAATTTAATACGTGTACATGTACCGGTACTGTATTCTGAATCCTTTTCCATAATTGTCACCAAAAATTATTTAACCCTTTTTTATAATTATTATTCATAAAGGTCACCAGATTTCATTTTAATCTTTTCGTTATCGTTATACAGAACGTAGTTTTTTTCCATATACCGATACGTACAATAATTTCCACACTTTTGAATTAAGGAATCTAATAATAGAGGTAGAATCGTATTTCTAGTTTGAGAATCGATTTCAATACATAAATTCAAACAAGTGTCACTAACACTAACTGTCTGTTAGTTGAATATCGTTTTTTTTTTTTTTAGATAATTGAGTGATTCAATTCATATCGATATAGGCGCAGAAATTTTTTTGTCATAATACATTTCTTTGGCAGGGGCACGGTATCCACAAACTGCGCATGCTGGTAAGTCAAGTTTCTTTGATTCCATACATGCTCTGGTAGTAGTACTATCGGATAATGACTTTGTCTTTTAATACCGGAATTAATCGTGAATTTTCTTTAAATGAGGGACTTTGAAAAAAAAACTTGATTTTTTTCTTTTTGGCAGAAAAATGTATTATCCAAAGTGCACCAATACTAAATTACGTATATTTGATATCGATATACTGTATTGGTACTACGTACAAATTTAACAAATATTTGGTGATTTATTGTTTAACGTTACTACCGCTACTGTCCGTGGAGCACCACCACTACACGTTGCTAAAAATCGTAGTACCCAGATAGCTGATTGGAGGGAGCCTAACAATTAAACATAAGAGACCTACAAAAATACTCAAAATTGCTTAGCTACATGTAGTGAAAATCTGGTTTTACCTGTACATGTGTACATGTAATAGCAATAGGGGAAAGGTCGTGTTGCTGATGCTGCTGTTGTGTTGGATTACTGCAGAAAATTATTAAAATTTTTTCTTCAACACGACGGATCCTGGGAAAATGTCAAAGAAATAAAGTTTTGCGATCTATATATTAGCCTATTAGTTGTTTTTACAACTACATGTATAACGATAACTGTTGATATCTAATACAGCGTACAACAAAATCATGCAAAATACTAACGATCTCATACTAAATAACAATACACAAAGAGAATCAAAAATTTTGGATCCAAATGATAATGAACCTTCTTCAATAATTCTTTCCAATAATCCACAAACGCAAACTTCAATAATAGCGCGTCCACCTAAAATTTACATTCCACCAGACACAAATGAATCATCAAACACCGATTCGAAAAAAACTACAAATTCTAAAGTTTCAACAATCATCGTTATCGAAGATTCTGACTTGATAAAAGAGGGCAAAACTCATTGTGAGATCACAACAAACCAAGATATTGAAAATCTTTCAGTCTCGGAAAAAACGATAATAATAGTAAATGATCCAAGAAATTGGAATGCTAGCAGAAAACGATTTATTTTATTTCTCGTTGCGTTTGCTGGGTTTATTTCGCCAATTTCCTGCACGTGAGTTAATTTGATGAAGAGATTAGATTTTCGTTAAAAATATATTTAATGAAAATTTGCAAAATATAGATTTTTTTTTCCCGCTATTAATGATGTCCGAAAAGACTTAAATACGAGCGAAATATTGGCTAATTCTTTAGGTATTTTTCATATATCGATAGGTATATGAATTATGTAATTTAGAGTTCACTAATTTTTTTTTATTTCTCGAAACGCGCGTATATAGTTGCTGTATACATTTTCTTTTGGGGAATCTCGGTAAATTGAATATTCAACTTTTATCAGAATATATCGATATGTAATTCACATTCGAGTCTTCTTTTTACCCCCTTTTATTGAAAAGCCACTTGGTTGGGCTTCATACTCAGATTCGCATGCGACGCGAAGAAAAGTCTACCTCTTCTCATTTATTCTCTTCGTGATATCCTCTGTCCTATGCGCGCTATTAAATAACATCTGGCTATTACTCGCAATGCGGGCTCTTCAATCGTGTGGTGCGTCGGCTGCAATGTGTATTGGCGCAGGAGTAATTACCGATATTTTTAGGGCCGAAGGTAGGAAGCGAATGAATGTCGTTTTTTCTTCCGATTAGAAGATCGAGAATTTAAGATAGAATTCGAATAAATTTCAGAACGTGGGACTGCATACGGACTATTCTTTATTGGACCCTTACTTGGTAAATATAGAAAATATGCCTGATCAATTTTTCATAGAGGTAATATTGCCATTCATCTCGATGTTTCTTGTCGCTTTCTAGGACCGTTGATTGGACCTCTTATTGGGTAATAATTATGAGTGGTAACGTAATAAAAAATATAATATGGTCTCAGTAAATGCTCATAAAATATTATCATTATTTAGGGGATATATTAACGAATATCTTAATTGGCGGTAAGTTAACACGGATAGATATACTCTTAATCTTTTCTAATCACTTTTTCCCCTTTAAAACAGGTGGATATTCTGGTCTTTGGCAATAATAGGATTCCTCATGCTACTCTTAATTTTCTTTTTCCTACCCGAGACATTCCGTCAACCATCATCATCACCAACATCCACTCCAAAAAAAAGATTCAGACCCATCACACCTTTACTCCTTCTTCGCTACCCATTTGTCTCTATGATAATCACATATGTGAGCTCAATCTGCGTGCTATTATTTTTGTACCAAACACTTGTCCCAACTTCATTCGCCATACAGTATAACCTTTCGTCGAGCGAGATTGGATTAGTATTGTTCGCTAACGGCATCGGATTTATAGTTGGATCGGTGCTTGGTGGTCGGTACTCGGATTATGTACTGATGCGTGCGAAAAAAGAGTGTGGCGAGGAGTATCCAGAAATGAGGCTTCAAAGTGTTTGGCTGGGTGCTGCCATGGTTCCGGTGGGTATGTTGGCGTTTGGATGGTTAACGCAAGCCAACTTTGCGTTGGCTTGGAACCTGGTGGCGATGGTGATAAGTAAGTCTATTTACATTATATGTGGTGAAATCGGTGAAATCATCTTTAATTATGTGTCTTAATTTTAGGCGCGATTGGCGCAATGATCATATTCTCCGCAACAGCCACATATTTAGTCGACGCATTACCAACTCAAAGTGCTTCCGCTATCGCCGTCTACCATTGTATTCGGCTAATCATCGGCGCAATTGCTTCTGGTGTCGCGCAGACGGTCGACTCGGCAATTGGCACCGGTTGGACATACACCATCCCATCGATTATCTGTATTTTCTGTACTGCTCTTGTTGCGCTGGTTTCTTTTTATGGGCGTCAGTGGCGAAAAAAATATGCTGATGGTCGAAAATTCGAATACGTAAAGTAAATACTTACTGTACGTCGTTAGAAACAATTTCTATTATCGTTATGTGAACAACATGTACATGTATATAGATATGGAAAACGCATCGGTATGTATGCGTCGCCTGTGTAATTGTTGTACTACCAAACAAGTGTCGATATGTATGGGATGTTCATCGACAAACTACCGAAAAAAGATATTTGCATACGTACAAATTGTTGTTTAAATTATTGTCATTTTACATTTTATAATTAGCGTTAGAATTTTATAACATTTTATATGTAGGACCCGGCAAAATTCATATCGATATTATTCGATATATTTCCTGTTCATCATCGAACATTCATCACCCATTAAACAAAATTTCTAATAATATAAATCGAGAATCATCAAGTGTGTAGGTATATAGAAAATAAAATATGGCACAAAGTGGAGACAAAATAGTTTTAAATATTGGTGGAATAAGGGTAATTAATTTTATTCGATATTAGTATTAAAGTGATAGTTTTATATTAATTAATAAAATTAAGAAAATAAAAATAGTACGAGACGAATCGTTCAACGCTAACAGCCTATCCGGAAACTTTCCTCGGTACAATGTTTAATGAGCGTAATGCAGCACTACTTCACCCCACAAAAGAAGGTGAATACTTTATCGACCGAGACGGTACCGCCTTCAAATACATAATGCAATATTACCGAGACGGCAAAATCTCATGGCGAGATTTCTGCGATCGCGATTATAACCAGCACATACCACAAATCACTCGCCGTGAACTCGAAAAAGAACTAGACTATTACCAGATCCCAAAATCGGTGCTCAATGTCCCGCCGAGCGTCGTAGTCTCCGAACAAGTCGATGAATTCATCGCGATACTCAAAGACGTAATCTACGATCTGATCCGTCACATGCGAAACGAATGGACTTTGGAATTTTACAAGAATGTGAATGGGAGTTCGACGACACATAGTATGAAGTTACATAGCTTGAGTACAGTGAGGAGACATGCAGAGTTTTTTGATTTGGCGGGGTACGAGATTTTTGATATGTTTGGCGAGGAGATTCGACGGCATCTTGAGAAGGAGATTCCAAATTTGTGTTGTACTATTACCAGAGAGGATTTTAATCATCTGCCGAAATATCGGTTTCATATTACTATTGATAATAAGCTGAGTAGGGCGACTATTCTGTCAGAGACGTGTCTTTCAGAGTATTTTTGAGCGGAAAGTTTTCCTTGTGGTATTACTTGGATGTTTTTTTTAAAAAAATATGGATATTTATTTCCAGATAAATTCAAATAAAAATGAGCTCATTTTGTTAGAATTTTTTCTCGCCTCATACTCAAAAACTTTTATTCACCATAATTATTAGTATTTTTGCTACGAGAGAAAAAATCATTATCATCATAACATTATTTATTCACATCATCAATCAAATAGAACAATCAAAAATTTTCATTTTCTCTGTAAATCTTTAAAATATACTTTTCGCATACATAGCAAATTTTTTCATAATGAAATCTCGATAATTTAAAGATAATATTTATTATTTGACGGTGCCAATTGAACAATGCATATACTATTGCTGAATATGAAGCAGCTATAATAATTGTTTCGAAGATTATTATAGAAATTACTACGTACATGTACTACAGATCATTTATCCTACACACGAGACTCGATACCTAGACATCTCCCCGTTTACTTTAATCTTCGATCCAAGAATTCATCAAGCTGTCGTTTTCACGTTCTAAAACAACATATACGTCTCTCCATCTCGTTTAATCTTTGTTTCTCCTCTTCTAATCGTTGCTTTTAATAATTCCGGGATATCTATTTTGAAGTGCTGCATGAATATTGTTGTCAACCAATATTTGCATGAAATTTCATTTTTTTAGGACTTGGAAACGATGATAAATAAGATGAGACTTGATGGCTATTTACACATTAATTTGAAAGGTGGTGTTGAAGGCGAGTATGCTTCTTAGCGATTAATGTTATCAACTTTGAGTTGGGGGTATATTGACATTAGGACTGTAATTTATGTGATTGTTTAATCTTCTTCCCAGCAAGTACATGTTTTTTTTCTGCGTGTATGCTTTAGGGTAGCGAAAGAAAAACCTTTCATAATATTCGGATCTACTTTTTACTCGATATTTCGGAATATACGTACTTTTTTATTCGATATTTGTAGTTTATAAATTGCCAAAATATTTTGTGTTCTCCCTGTTGAATAAATAAATGAAGTTGGATTTGTCATAAAATTTTTCAGCATTCTGTGGATATTCTCACGATTTGGTGTACTTGAGAGTATGCTGGCTTTGGATAAAAATTTGGGAATTCTTTCATAACAGTTTTTCCGGCTCAATAGTTGATTTCCGAAATTTTCGGACAATCACGCGTAAAAAACGAGACCAAAAAAGTTATAAAATGCTATCTCTGAGTACTTTGTTTTCTCGTACTAAATATGTTTGAAAATAGAGATTTAACTGACGAAGAAATCGAGAATTCGAATAACGAAGAAAGCGGAGATGAATTGGATTCAATTCCACTTCAATCGGATGAATTTCGTGCTGAAACACGAATTATTCATAAAAAATGCTCTGGTAATTTGCAACTTGATTTAATTATACAAAAAATTCGAGCAGAAGCAAACATAAGCGGCGATTATCTTGAATATATTCCTTACGATCAATTTGAACTGGTTGAATTCCACAAAGCTGGAGCATTTAGTGAAATCTATTCTGCTATTTGGTTGGAGGGACCTAAGTGGGATTGGAACGAAAAAACGTAAGCTTGGTCACGGGGTGGACCAATAAAAGTTGCACTGAACAAACTTATACATTATCAAAACGTAAATTTTACTTCTCATTTGATAAAAACAAATTTTAAGAATTATTAAAAAAATGTTTTCTTTTTATGCTAGTTACGAAAATATCATCGTTGCCTCCAATCTGGCAGTGTAGCTGATACATTTGGTATTTCAAAAGCTCCAGACGGCTTTTTGCATTTATAATGAGATTCTATGAAATGGCAATTTAAATAAATACATTAAAAATGTTAAAGATATTATTATTAGCTGGAAAGATAAAATCGATTTATTATGGGGAATTACTGCTGGTTTGGAAAACATTCATCGATCTAATCTCTATCATGGAATTTACATGGTGGAAATATAATAATTGAAGATGAATCAATCTCGACAGATAGAAGAATAGCTGATATAGGAATTCATGGATCAGTTGTTACCCATATAGTAATAAATTGTATGGTGTTATTTCGTATATTGCAGAAATTCTTGGAGAGAATCAATCAAAAGAAGCTGATATTTATAGTTTTGGCGTTATTATGTATATAATCACTTGCAGCTGAACAAAAGCCATTTGCTAGAAAGCGCATGACATCGCATTAGCAATAGATATTTGTAATGGAGCCAGACCAAAGGAAATTGACAACACTTCAAATGGCTTTCTAATTTGATGAAAAGCTGTTGTGTATTTGATCCAAAACAAAGACCAACAGCAATTGAGTTGAATAAAATATTTAGCGATTGGATAACCTATATACATGTATGTGACAATCCAGCACCAACTGGAATCAGTGAGGAATTTAGAATCGCTGATGTTAAAATTTTCAAATACAGAAAAACACATCACAGGAAACTCATAAAGGTGCGTTTTAGACAAGCCGATTTTTTGAATTTTCAGACCTTTGAGAAAAATTTAATAATGTTAATGTTAGTTTTTGGAAATTTTCGATTTCTTAGCAATCAAGATTATATATTATTCATGTAAAAAGCTGTTTGATTTTTATTTAAATAGGTTTTTTCGTTTAATTTTTTATTCGTTTTCGTCAATTTACGTTCTTCGTCATATACAGTAGTGTTGCGTTCCCTTCGGTATTTAGTTAGAAGAACGTATTTCATGATGGATGAGGTGGGGGCACCAGACTGTTGCGTTTATCACAACAATCAATAAATTAAGGGGTTTTCCGCAACGGGGGTGAGAGCTAGACTAAATTATTTACGGTCAAAGGGTTTCTTTGGGTGTTCTAAAGGTTTCCCGTGCGACTTGAACGCAAATTGACCTTTTCTCAACAATAAAGGGGAGTGGGTGTTTGAAAGAGTAGATAGAATAGAATCACGCTTGTAATAATAAAATCTTGTTTATTCAACAATGATCGATATATTCACAAACGTGACAGGACTTATTGATACGGCCTGTCCAAGAAAATCTCAATACTAAAAGGCAATTCGACAGGCTTATTGATACGTCCTGTCTAAGAAAGCAAAACCAATTCTACAGGACTTATTGATACGGCCTGTCCAAAGTAACAATTCAAAAGAGATCGACAGTTTATTTAAAGTTGTAATTACGTACTCATAGGGCTTGAAGTTTGATCACAAAACAAAACAAAATAATAGTGTATTCACAAGTATTATTATTACCAGTAAGAACTTTGTTATTTTATCAGATCAAAAGCACGATCAAAACGCGTTTTCTCAAAGATTAAAAAATAATTTTATATATACAGTTTCAAATTGCTATGCTAATTCTAAAGTTAGTATTTTACTTTGATTGTTTCTCATGAAATTTTCTAGAAACAATTTAGCAATAATCATTTGATATCTTTTCAATTATTCAGATAATTGTCATCCTCTAGATAATCACAATCATTACATGTATTAATATTGAAGAATGATGGGAATGTTCTGTTCATGACATAAGAAAAAAAAGTAATGTTCATTCATAATAAAATATTTCTAAAGTTGGCTTACAAATTATACAAGAAACTAATTTTAGAAGAATTATCATGTAAAAATTATTAAGAGAAATTATATAAAGATATTCATGTGGAAATTAAGAGTAAAATTATGGAATTAAAAGATTTAATGTCACTATAGTAACAGTAGCTTACAAAAATAATTCATCTCTTTCAAAATTTACTAATAAAATATAATAAAATACAGGTTTTTCTCTTTATATAAAAGTTTTCAATTTTACCAATTAAAATTGAAAACTTTTATATAAAGAGAAAAATCTGTATTTTATTATATTTTATCAATAAATTGAAAATGATACATTATTTTTGTAAACTATTATATTTTATTTTATTTTGTTCTTAAATTATCTTTAATATTGTTTTGAATTCTGATTTCTTTTAATAAAACACTTGCATATTAAAAATATACACATTTTTTACTAATTATGAAATTAGTTAATCAATATAAACAAGAGTTAGAAAAGGAATTAAATAAAAAGAGAAATAATATCTAAGATTTATATTTATATTTATTAATATAAAGAGAAAAACTAATAAAAATAAAACATATAAGAAAAATAAAGAAATTATAAAAAATTAAAAAATATATATTCAAGAGAGAAATTATAAAAGAATGAATAATATTGATATTTTTATACTTATATTATAATTTTCTAGTTTTTTTAATATTATATAATAAAATAAAATTATAAATTAGTTATAACAAAGATAAAATATAACAAAATAATACAAAATTAAAATTTTTCAGAATTAGTTATTTTTTTAGCATCTCAAAAACATTCGAAACAAAAAACCAATTTAGTGTAATGATTGTCAAGAAAATTGAACAAGTAGTGATGATAAAATTGCCAAACGGGAAGGTGGGCGTCCCCGAGCGCCAGCGAGGGATTAATACAAAATAAAATAATAAAATAATTATTATAAATTATTTAGATATAATTATCAAAGTTAAAATATATAATAAAATATTTTATTTATTTTAACTTATTAATACAAAATAAAAAATTAGTTTTATTTATATATTTTTTAAAAATATAAATTTTAATATGATAACTATCTAAAAATAAAATAATTAATTGAAAAAATAAAAGATAAAATATTAAAAATAAAAAAGAAGAAATATAAAGATAAAAAATAAAACAAAAGATAAAATATTCAAGATAAGAAATAAAATTAAAAAGTAAAAAGTAAATCAAAAGATAATATACTAGAATAAAAAATAAACTAATTAGATAAAAAATAAAAAAATAAAATAAAAGATAAAAAATAAAAATAAAAAGATAAAAGAGCAAAATAATATAATAAAAATAAAATATAGAATAAAATACCAAGATAAAAAATAAAAATATGAGTAAAATATTAAAATAAAAGATAAAATATAGATAAAATATTAGTAAAATTACGCAAGAAAAATTTTTTTAATTACTCTTACTCTTTCTTTTTTTTATTAGCTTATATCATTTTACTCTTTGCTATCAGATTCAGATTTCTTTTTCAAAAATTAATTCATCTATTTACACATAGCTTCAAGTATTATATTATTTACCAAATGGATTATATCTGATTTTTGTTGTTCTTTCTTCTCCTTTGTTTTATCTGTGAGTATATAATCATAAATTTCAAGATAAGTCTAATTGTTGTTTGAAAATTCTCTAGCTTGTATAACTTTAGTTAGTGTTTGTATTTGTTGTAGGAGCTGCTTGTTGTTTTGTTAATTATCCTGTTCTAGTTCTTGTGATCTATCATTACGCTATCAATCTTTCCACTTAGAATGATTATTGTTTTGTTAATTAATATCAGAATTTCGATTTGGATAATTATTATTATTATAGTTTTGACTGTTTTGTCTCATTTTTACTCTTGGTTACTGATCGAATGTAACTGGTTTTCTTTACAATTGTAGCATATAGGCTCAGCTTCATATTGTGATTCATTCCAATTTGTTAATTGATTATTTCCATTATACCATGATTCCTTTTACATTTTTATTGGTATCTCATTATTATTTAACATGGTGATAGTAGTTATTTGCAGAATAAGTTTTACTTCCATTTCTCTTATCGCTCTTTCTATTTTGTGTGCTCTTTCAATTATATTACTTGCACCCATTTTCTAATATCTAGGTTCAACTTTCTTTAATAAATTCTAATCTGGTAATTATCAGGATATTCGTTCTCAGAATCTACCGCCACTTTCCATAGCAACTCATAAAACTGATCAATATATGTATCAATGGTTCCTGTTTGTTGATGGGATTCTAGTTTGTCCTACCATCAATTCACTCTCTTTGTATTGTATTCGAAACTTAGCTATGAATTGTATAGAAAAATCAGTATCATCATGATTATTATTTTTCAAACATTTAAGTTATTGTTATTGGCTGATTTCTTTTTGTCAAACCAGGCCATGGCTGTCCCTTTCAAATAATCTCAATTTTTCTTTCATTCCTTATATCATTTTCCCAAGCAGCCACTTCAAAATCTCTCAGTCATTTAACAGATCTTGATTATTTTCTCGATATTGTCAAATTAGTATAATCTTTTTTTCTGGCACCTGTTGGTTTTGCTGTTGCAATTGCTCTACCAGTGTTTCAATTGCTTCAATTGCTGCAATTGCCATACCATCACTGACTTAGAAGTAGGATTCATGTTGATTAATGAATGAGTATTACGTTTGGTTCTTCAAATCCTAGAATGTTAGATATAATTTGATCTTGATTTTCGTTATTATTGATGTGATTACTATTATTTTCATAAGAGTCACTGTCTTTTGTTTCAGAATAATGGCCTCTGCATTGTTATCCATATAATTTATTTCTTCATCTTTACTTGAGTTGGCTACTTGTCTGGGCTTACTGCTGATCTTTCCTCTCGTAAACTATTATCAGCAGTTATTTCGTTAAGTTTGTCACTACTTGCTATGGAATGATTTGGACTCTGTAAGCTTCAGATTCTCTCTAAACTGGAATTAACTAGCCGAGTTTGAGCTTGTGTTAACAGATATTCCATAAACAATATTGTTTTAAGAATTTTCACAATCTGTCACTTGATCGTTACTGGATGTTTTTCAGTATGATTATCTGCGAGGATTTTCTTGAACAATTTAATAGTTATTGCTGTGTGAGTTATAGCTTCCTTCATTTGAATCCAATTCCAAAATTCAGCAAAAGCAGTGGTTAACGAGTTGTTAACAGGATAACAAATTGGACAGCAATCATAATTAAAGGAATGCCTTGATGTGATTCCAAGTGATTATTAACTAAAATACCGGTAAAAGTATACACTTCGTTCATAAATACCAAGCTTCGTGGTCCACAGAGAGGGCACCAATTTGTCACGTTAGAAATAAAAGATTACGAAATAAAGAAAAAGGTTGTGACTGTCAGTTATGAGTTAGACTGAATGATTTACGTAATAAAGATTTCTTTATGGTTCTAGAGGTCTCCTGTGGTAGCTTGTACGCAAACTGACCAAAGTAATACTAAGACTTAAAATGGTTCAATTAATAATAACAACCGAAGGGCTTATTGAGACTGCCTTCAAGAGAAATTAAAATTCAAAATAAAATAAAATAAAATAAAACGTCGGGTCTTATTGAGACTGCCCAAATTAAAAATATCAAAATCAATCGTTGATGATAATTCACAGGACTTATTGATATGGCATGTTAAAGGGTCTATAACCAAATCAGTTCACAGTTGTACGCAAACTTCCGAAGTCAATCAAAGGCAAACAAGAGATGCTTTATTAATCATCTTTATCTTTATTTGATGATTTGATATGAGCTTCTTTTTTTTGTTTCAGTGAGAAGCTTCTATTCATACAATTTTGTTATTTATAAAAAGAATATATATATCGTAAAGCTAATAAATATTCAACTACTAAATGAATGACTTTAAAGCGGAATTCATATTCGAACTTATAATCGAAAAATGTCATGACAATTGCATTCACAACCACAACTACGACTATAGCCGCATTGTTACACGATAACATATTAGTCTTAATTTCCGAATCAAGAATATTATGACAACACTACAATCACATTCGTTACGAATATTATAACGAATTCTACAACAATAATGAATTATCAGCTTTGGACTCTGGTATGGAATATATGACTTTACCAAAATGATGATGACACAATGAGGACAACAATACAATTATCCAGAAAATATTTCTATCAAATCGTTTGCAGGATTCACCTAGAATATATACAGCCAAAATGCAGTCAGAAGGATGAAAATGCCATTCAGTCAAATTTTACAGTTCACTTCACATTTTAATCAATATCTCAAGCCAGGCATAACTAAATCTCACCAAAATTGAATCACTAAAACTAGAAGACTATACCTATCTGTCATAAAAATTTCGAGACAAATCGATAAGACAATTGTCGAGAACGCTCTGTCAAAGTTTACGAACGAAGAACGGCCGATCGATGGGACCATTGGTTAAGGCTCCCGTCTGTGCAAAGTTGAGGTGGTAGAGGAAAAGTGGGAAAGTAAGTTAATCTCGTATGGGTAGGAGTTACGAACATCTGAGACACGATAGGCCATACATGAAATGGAGCGGTAAGCTGGGAGGCAAAGGCATGCCGTCAAGTCATAACCAGTGCTTGGACCAGTAGTGTATTGGAGCCATCCTTAGATTGTCAATTATGTTTGTACTTCGTAACCGATTGAACGCCCACCTACGCGACTTCTGCTTGGAAGTGATTTGTTTCCCCAAGTATAATAAACCTTTGCTTACGAATGGTCAAATTGCTGGAACACCTTGCTATTCTAACTACCACTTATAAGAAGGGAACCTGTTACAATAGGAGGAGCACATGATAGCTTCCTCTCATGGTAAAAAGGTTAGAGGGCGCAAAGCTTGAAAGAGTGTTGTGAAAACAAAAGTTTTAAGAGGTAACTAGCAGCCAAGCTCCGTAGTCCCGCACGTGATGGTGCAAACTTTATGTAAGTTTGAAATTATCTACAGCCGGTTGTGTGTACTAACCAAGCCAATCTTGCAGAAGCAGCGACAGCACTGTGAACCTCCCAATGTGACTGTGAATACATAGTACATCGGCGGCTGATTTGGTAACAGGATAACAATTCGGATAATGAAATAAACCTTCGACGTTTACATAAGAAGGTTCACAGACTGTAAGGTCATCAGTGTTGGAAGGGAGTATGTACTCATACCACCTAGATGTGGACAAGAGTGATCTTACTTTCGTATTGCTGAAAGCCACAGTCGATGAAAGCAGAAATGTGTGTCAGTGCGGAGCGAGATGCCTTTTAGGCAGGACCTATTCTGACTTCGGTTGTATAGAATTAACTTATTCCGCTCTATGTACCAAGTATTGAGTTTATGGCTTAAATCTGCCGCTTGCTTCATACGCCTGGGTAGTGGTATAACTGCGTACACGTGTCGTGCTCAACCTATAGTTTACGTGTGGATTCTATACTAGAGCGCTATAAATATGGTAGAGACGTAAGTGTTCTATACAATTAAGACCCAACCTAAGACTTTAATATTACGGCGCGAAAGCTCAACAGTAATATGTGGACGAGTTGGTCTATAATTACAGTTGCCCGTAAGGGTGCGTAATCTACAACTGAAGTTAAGGTGAAAGCCGAAGCTAACTGGCCCAATGTCGTGAAGTATGTATGCATAATCAGAAGTGAACCTCTGCTGACCATAGCGAATTTACTCTTATATTTGGCTTGATCTGGAAGGTCTTGATTCTTATAGGAACGATAACGGAGTAGGATCGTGGAACAACGCCCATTAGTATAGACGAAGCTCTTTACTGAAAGGTGATAGCGTCTATAAGAGGTACAAGATGGAGACTATGTTCAGTGGATTATATATATGTATGGATCGGCAGTAAGTACAGAAATCAGAGCTGGATCCGTTTCTTCTTTTAAAACTTATTGCAGCCCTAAGGCTTAGCGAATAGGCCCGAGCGGAAACCCGAACTAAAGAGGCAGGTGAATCGAAGGTCAGAACGATCAACACTAGGGCATATAGGGAAAAAAATGGTGGAATTGAGCTGGAGGAGCTCCACTTCCAGACTTGTGTGGGGGTAAGGTTATTCGGCAGATGGTTAAGGGTAAGCTTTTAATAAAATCCATGGAAAAAACTCTTAGTTTTCTAATCAACACGGTATGATGAACAATCGTGCAGTTGTAGGATTCGCTATTTTTGCAGGTTACAAGTACTAGGACTAGGTAGAAGTCCTTGACAAGGAGAAATCCTTGGCGAGCAGCAATGCGTGCTACAATAGCTAGTATCTGGTGAATCTGGTGAATGACTGCGTTTGAAAGCTCTACGTTGTTATCCTTAAAAACTTGGGGTGGTTGTGCGGATTGAGATCAATAATACTAAGAGAAACTACACCCTGATCTTAGTTTTACTCGGCGTACAACCAATAGTGTGATAGTTCGAGATGGAAAGTTTCGCCCTTCCACATTGAGGCTGAAAAACTGATCTATATCATACTATCACAAAAAAAATATACAAATGGGTCGTATATTTACAATCCCGCCAGATACCACGTGATCATCTGGTTGATGCAAAGAAACACTGCCTACGCGCTAATGGTTGACCCACATCGGGCGTATGGATAAGGTGCTTATCTGTGCATTAAATTTGTTGTGGGTAAGCTTTTATAAAATCATAAACCCTCAAGTTCAGTGTAATCCGTTTGGTAATGCTTGAAAAACACTTCAAATAACTACCACTTGACCTTAAATGGATCGTTAATTTGCTCAATCTGATACTAAGAGTTTCTAAGTGTTATATTAAAGTTATGGAAAAAGTTCTAGAGTTCTGAACTCTGTGTAGGAATCAATGTACATTCATAGTACCAGAATTTTTCTAGAAGACACGTTAAAATGATTTATAGCAAAATTTCATTACAAAAAGTTTCCAAATGTTTCAAAAATCATTCAAACCACAACTAGAAGATTCTAAGGAGTTAATTTCAACACTGAAACAGTTGTTTACAACATTCTTATATCAAATATGACAGTAGTAACTTATCAAAATTTATTTAACTATATAAAAGACAACTTTTTAGAATTGTGAAATTCAGAAGAGTCAACTCACAGAAATAATATTATTTATAATTTATATTTAATAATTATATATTGTTAAATGACAATTATAATATTCAAAAAATTCAATAAAACAATAATAAAATGGCAATATCCAATGGAAGAAAATTAAAATTATTATAAATCAAATTTGAAAAACAAAAAATTAAAACTTTTCTGAAAAATTCCATTAATCATTTATAATAAAAACATAATAAAAATGATACAAATCATGAAAATATATAATTAATACTAGTAAATATTAAAAATTTTTCTTTAATTTTGTAAAGTTAACTTTACAAAAATAAAACAAATATTATAATAATAATACAAATTTTTTTAATTTCTAAAATATTACAAAAATAATCAAAAAATAAAAATTATTTAAAAATAGTTTAAAGTTTAAAAATAATAGCAAAAATAATTCAAAAATATTTTATTTTAAAAATAAATATTGATAAATTTTAAATTAAATTCAAATAATTAATTCATTTTATAATTAATTTTTATATTATTTTTTGTTTCTATCAACAAGAAATAAATCATTAAAGAAGTAAAAACAAAAAATTTTGACACTTAAAATTACTTGATGATCAAATTAATTTATCTTTTAGCAAAATATTTACTAAAAAAAATGAGTTAAATAAAGATAGTAAAATAAAAAGCACTTACAATATATATATATATATTGTGAATTAATGAATTATATTTGCTGAATATTTGAAATTATTATTATTTAAATCAGAATATAAAAATATTTTTATTATTAGTATTTTTTATATATTTATAAATAAAGTTTTGGCTTGAATTATGTTCTTTATTTTTGATGAACATCTCTAATATAATATATTAAACTGTCAAAAAAGATGTGAAAGCTGATTTAAAATTCTAAAAAAAGAAGCTTTCTGATAAATATGAATATTATTTATCTAGTACAAAACTAATATTAATAGAGTATTAGTAAATTTAATAATTGATACTAATATTTTGTGTCATAATACAAAAATTTCTAAAAAGATATAGTATTTTCATATAATATTTATTAGCAATTAAAATAACAGAAATAAATGATATATTTAAATAACTATTGGAGATAATTAATAATTTAAAAATACTAATAATATATATTATAATCTGTTTAATATGAATATAATAGAAGTATAAATTTTTAGTATCCTAATAGAAATGAATTTGTTGAGTAAAATTAAAACAAATTTTGATTTTAAATAAAGTATTATAATATTTTAATAAAAAGAAAAAGAAAAGAAAATTCCAATTCAATTTATATATTCAATTAAAAAGATATTAGAAAAAAGAAATATAAAATTAAATTAAAGAAAATAAAGTGTAATAATTTTCATATATTTTTGTAATTTCTTGTATCATATCTATTATTTTTCATGTTATATTTATCATTTCTTGTATAACATGTTAGAAATTAACACAGATCATATTATTAATTTGGATACATATTGTTTTTAATTACTTTTATTTTTATTCATTCTTTTTCTTTTATTATTTTTAATTCGTATTAATTATTTTTCATTATTATTTATATTTCATACATATTCATTAAGTACA